CTGGAATAGACTGTTGGTTTAGCTAGAATAGACTGTTGGTTTAGCTTGAGTAGATTGTTGGTTTATCTAGAATAGACTGTTGGTTTAGCTTGAGTATACTGTTGGTTTAGCTGGAATAGACTGTTGGTTTAGCTAGAATAGACTGTTGGTTTAGCTTGAGTAGATTGTTGGTTTATCTAGAATAGACTGTTGGTTTAGCTTGAGTATACTGTTGGTTTAGCTAGAATAGACTGTTGGTTTAGTTTGAGTAGATTGTTGGTTTAGCTTGATAAACCAACAATTTACTCAAGCTAAACCAACAGTCTATTCTAGATAAACCAACAGTATACTCAAACTAAACCAACAGTCTATTCTAGATAAACCAACAGTCTACTCCAGCTAAACCAACAATCTACTCAAGCTAAACCAACAATCTTCTCAAACTAAACCAACAGTCTATGCTAGCTAAACCAACAGTATACTCAAGCTAAACCAACAATCTACTCTAGAATAGACTGTTGGTTTAGCTTGAGTAGATTGTTGGTTTATCTAGAATAGACTGTTGGTTTAGCTTGAGTATACTGTTGGTTTAGCTAGCATAGACTGTTGGTTTAGTTTGAGAAGATTGTTGGTTTAGCTTGAGTAGATTGTTGGTTTAGCTTGAGTATACTGTTGGTTTAGCTAGAATAGACTGTTGGTTTAGTTTGAGTATACTGTTGGTTTATCTAGAATAGACTGTTGGTTTAGCTTGAGTAGATTGTTGGTTTATCTAGAATAGACTGTTGGTTTAGCTTGAGTAGATTGTTGGTTTATCTAGAATAGACTGTTGGTTAGCTTGAGTAAATTGTTGGTTTATCTAGAATAGACTGTTGGTTTAGCTTGAGTAGATTGTTGGTTTATCTAGAATAGACTGTTGGTTTAGCTTGAGTATACTGTTGGTTTAGCTGGAATAGACTGTTGGTTCAGTTAGAATAGATTGTTAGTTTAGCTTGAGTAGGTTGTTGGTTTAGCTTGAGTAGATTGTTGGTTTATCTAGAATAGACTGTTGGGTTAGCTAGAATAGACTGTTGGTTTAGCTAGAATAGATTGTTGGTTTTAGCTTGAGTAGAATATTAATTTAGATAGACTATTAGTTTAGTTCGAGAAGACTATTGCTTAAGTAGAGTATACTATTAGTTTACATACAACGAACTAGTGGCTAAGATAGAGTAGACAGTTGGTTTAGATAGAGTACACTGATGCTATAGCTAGAAT